GTGACTGTCTAGTGCCTCTTCTTTAAAATCTCCAATGATGGAGCCCCCACTATTTCTGGAGGCAAGCTGTTGCACTGTTAATTGTCCTCACTGTCAGGAAGTTTCTCCTTAATTTTAGGTTGCTTCTCTTAATCAGTTTCCAACCATTGTTTCTTGTCCTGCCCTCTGGTGCTTTGGTGAATAATGTGACCCCCTCTTCTTTGTGGCAGCCCCTCAAATACTAGAATATTGCTATCATGTCTCCCCTATTTCTTCTTTTCTTTACAAACACAAGTCTTGCAGACGTTCTTCGTATGTTTTAGTCTCCAGGCCTTTCATCATCTTAGTTGCTCTTCTCTGACTTTTTTCCAAACTCTCAACATGCTTTTTGTGATATGGTGACCAAAATTGGCTGCAGTATTCCAGGTGTGGTCTTACTAGTGTTTTATAAAGTGGTGCTAATACTTCGTGTGATCTTGATTCTATGTCTCTGTTTATACAACCCAGGATTGTATTGGCTTTTCTGGCTGCTGCTGCACACTGCTGGCTCATAGTCAAGTGATCGGCCACTAGGATTTGAAGGTTCCTCTCACAGTTACTGTTTTTAAGCCAAGTCTTGCCCAATCTGTACTTGTACTTTTGATTTTTCCTGCCTAAATGTAAAACTTTGCTTTTCTCCACATTAAAACTCATTTCATTGGATAGGGCCCATTGTTCAAGTTTGTCAAGATCTTTTTGGATCCTGGGTTTGTCTTCTGGGATGTTGGCTACTCCTGCCAGTTTGGTGTCATCTGCAAATTTGATGAGTTCCCCTTCAATTCTGTCATCTAAGTCACTGATGAAGATCTCCAAGGTCCCTTCCAACTTTGTTATTCTGTTATTCTGTTTCCCATCAAGCATGCTGAACCCACTGTAATGATGTGAACTCTCATAAGCTTGTGCCTATTAAAGTTGCTGAATCTGGAAAGTGTTACCAAGATTCTTGTCTACTATAATGCAACCATATTGCTATATGATCCAAGAATGAGAGTGTGGGAGAGAATAGAAGGGAAAAATGGAAATGAAATTCAGAAGATAGCGATAATTATTTATTGATGATTTATTAATGATTATGCTTAAAATAATTGGGAATGGACGGCATTTATTGTGGGAAGGAAATCAACATCTCCCCCCCCAGTCTTCTACCCACTATAGTCTTCCCCAAAATCAGGACATTAAAAATTACAATTACAACAGGACTCAACCCAAAGAAACAAAGTGTTGGGAATATACTTTCCAGGCTGATAATAGCCCTGATTAAAAAGCAAAAGATCTTTTCTCCAAAGAGATTACTACTTCTATCTACAATGCTAAATAAGTGGAAACTGCTATTCAACAAGATGCATGACTCCAGAGTGGTCTCTCTTGGGAATCTGGCTAAGTGCACTTTTTTCGAATTAGAATTTCTGAGAATTAGAATTATGTTTAATGTGTGTAATAATGAAGCTGCTGGATGAACTAGAGATCAAGTCTTTTATGATTAAAGTGGTCTTGTACTTTTTTTTTTTTTACATAAAAACAAGAAATTGAAAGTCCCAATTCCCACCCCATCCCTCAGGTTTTGGATATTGCCACCTCTGGAATCAGATTTGTATCTTTTGATTTTTTTCCCCATTCAGATTGGCAAGTTTGTTCTTTACTGACGGCCGCTAAATGCTTCTAACAAATGATGTGATATTAGAAGAAGAGTTGCCTATGAAGTGATACCTTCAAAATATTTTTTATGTAAGCAAAACTTCTGACTATAATGTGGTTCTGGCATATTTTTTTTAAACCTGTAATTGTTCTCTCTTATCATGATGCTGAGTGTAGAATGTTTTAATGTACGGGGAAATTCATTACTGAATTGTTCATGAACACTGTCCATTCAGATTGGGGTAGTGTATAATTAGTTCTAAAGAAATGAGTAAATTAAGTGTGCTGCAGGATGGGGTCTTGATATGAGTATGACTCAATCTTTGGCTATGGATAAGAACTATAAGGACCTGTGAGCTGTATTGATGGGTGGAAAAAAAATAACACAAACTTTCCAAATAAACACATTCTTTTCTCTAAATTACAAGTAAGTGCATTGTTATAGTGCTTTTAGATAGGCAAGCTGTGCTTATAATTTATGGCTTAACAAATAACACATCTATGATTCTATACAGATAATTTCAAATAAAGGGTTCCCCCCCCCAGAGGATCTTCACATGATTCACTTCCTACATCAACCTATTTTTGGTTTAGCTATGGAATATTTTAGTATTTTTATTTTTAATGGGTTTAATTTGTTTTTTTTAAAGATAATGTCTATACATGGATACATAGTTATCATAATTGTACAACTGATGCCAAAATAACATTAATAAAAGATACCAAGCAAAGTACATTGTTTTCCTAATATTAAAAAAGGGGAAAGAAATATGATTTTTTTGAGCTTAGTAATGATGTCTTCATTATATTATTGTTTATAAATAGTAAAAAGAAAATAATAATAACATCCCTAAACAATATATATAAGTGTTTGATTTCTGACTGTTCCATTCTTCCTTCTCCAATCAATTTGCAGTATATTTTGATATAAACTTTGGCAAGCCTATCTTACATATTTATTTTTGGCTTATTGCATAATGTGTAATATGTATGGAAGCCACTCTTGCTTGAAGCTGTAATATATTTTAAATTGCTGAGAACTTGTCTTTTCTTTGAAGCTCTGAAGCTTATGAGCAATTCCTGTTCCCTTGTAGAATTGTTCCCCATCTCCTAACTCTTTGCTGACCTTTCAAGGGAAAAGGTGGGTTGAGAGCTTTCCAGCTCCCTACCATAAAGCCTGCTTAAGTTTGTTTGCTTTGCGGTTGTCCAGGCCGAAGCTTATACCAGGATGGAGGACAGCAGACAATCTCAGGCATTTCCCTGTGTCTGCGTACATGTGTAATGTGAGTCTGTTACTGCAGGATGTCTGGCAGCCTGGAATGGAGCAATAACTAAAAGGCTTTATTTTATTCTTATTCTCAACATGTTGTTATTGGCAGATAAAAATTCTACTGCAAACTACTGTATCTTCAAAGTTGTTTTAAGAAATTGAAAAACAGAAGGAGAAACTTCCTTGTTGATTTTTTTTAGGTGGGTATTTAGTTTGACAAACATCTGATTTAAATGTTGAGCTTCTGTTTGGTGTCTAAAGATATAAAATTACTTCATAAGGGATAGCTATGGACAATTGATTTTATGATGTGTTTGGGTAGAATATGGTAATATGGAAGCATAAACAATTGCCAATCAATTTGTATTATATACATCCATTATATAATTTCACAATCATGTCCAGCTTGCAAGAACAAGCTGATGTTAGGGTGGAGACTATTGATATTCTGATGAACTTAAGTGGTGTTTTTTTTTCTTTTTTTTAATCCTAGATCAGGGGTGTCAAACTCAATTTCACTGAGGGCCGCATCAGCATTGCGGTTGCCCTGGGGGGGCCGGGTGGGTGTGGCCAGAGTGGGTGCAGCCTGCTGGGTGGGTGTGAATGGATGTGACCTACTGGGTGGGCATGGCCAGTTCTACATCATTCGCGTCAAGCGGGCCTACATCATTCGCCTATGGGGGCCTGGGCAGGAGTGGGACAGATCTGACGGTCTCTGGCAGAAGGGAGTGGGACCGGGGCAAGTGCCAAGATGGCCACCACAAAATTGTACATTGGCTCCCAGCTGGCCTGGGTCAGGGCCAAGGCAGCGGGGGTCATTCCCTCCCTGTTTCCAGAATGGCTTTGCGGGCCACATAAAACCACTTCGTGGGCCGCATCTGGCCCCTGGGCCTTGTGTTTGACATGTCTGTCCTAGATAGACAACACCAGCACAACTCAGAGAGAAAAAAAGATGGAATTGGGGAGCATTTTGAGAGAAACAAAATCTAAATCTGCTCTAAGAGATGTTTACTTCAGCTTAGTCAAGAAAGCTAAGCTTATGCTCACACTGGCCTTTTTGTCATCTGCAAAGAAGTAGGCAGCACCCTCCTACAACAGATTGACTTAGTGCATAGTGTTACTAACATTAGTTAGTGTTAACATTTCCATTAGGGCATTCTCTATTTACAGTGCTCAAAACCAGGTAATTATCTAGCATTTTATCTTTCATGTGACAACAAATTGAAGGGCTTCTTCTTTCAGAAGGGATTGTTGAAGAAATGCTCATGGTACAAAATAACAGAGGTGGCTAGGAATCAGAAAAATTGTGAAAGAGAGCTTAAGCAAGAAGGCAAAGCATGGAAAGCAATAACATAGTCTCTAAAAGAACAGGTGGCCGGCCAGAATCAAAAGGATTTGCAGATTATCTGGGGGGGGGGCAGACAGTAGTATTAGAGGAAAGAAGGGAATGCATTGAGTGGACAGGAAAATAGCCCTGAAGATCTCGTGCCAACAAAAAGGAGAAGAAATGCTGCAGCCGAGAGGAGGGGCAGACGCTGTAAAGGAGTTAGGAGACGGCATGAAAACAGAAGTACTAGAAAAGCCTGTCATTTGTTGAGCAAAATAATATTCCAGAGGAAAATATTGGTGGAGAAATGATTTCCAGGAGATTTGCGATGCATTTCATGCAACATTTTATTTCCTCACCCCCTTATTTTACACAATTCCTTATGCCAGAAAAAAATCACACAAGCATAGGAAAGATTAAGACTTTCCGAGACTTCAGAATATGATGCATGCATAACACCTGATGTTCTGCAGAAACCGTGTTTCGTTCAAGGGGGGGGGCTTAGAATAGAACCTGAATCCTGTGCAAATGAGAAGAGGGGAGATTTCCCCCCAGAAGAAAAAGCATTTAGCTTTCTCAGCTTGTGACTCAGAGCCATTGCATGACTTGGTCCATCTTGAGCTGTACTCTCTGAAAGACTAGAGGCCCATGCCCTCATTTTCCTCCCCATTAATTCCATCTTATCCTCCTCTAATCTTCTCTGAAAGAGTCAGGAGAGCCCACAGGTGACCAGGAACAAAACAGCCCCCCCCCTTCCTTCTGCCTAGCCTCCTTCCCACACTTATCAGGGAGTCTGCTCAAGGGCAGCAATGCCACTCTGCCTGTTGCTTTCCGGGTAGCCCACTAATACCCCTGGTTTGGTAATGGAGGAAGAACCATGTGCACCACCTTCTTGGCCATCACAACTCTAATACTGCTGCTACGTCGATACTTCTTCAACAAAGTTGAACCGTAGGTCTCTTCCTCTTACTATAGAGAAGCAGTTTTAGCAGCTTTTCCAGCAATGAGCCTATGGGTGGGTGGTATCTGCTCCTTAGTCATAGAGCTATAGTTTGTGTGTATTGTTGTTGTTTTGTTGTTGACTGTTGGAAAGTGGATCTTGAGACATCAAAATGGCTCTTTCATCTTTTTGCTCAGATTTATAATCTAACTCCTGAGATTAGGTTGTTTTGGTTTTTTTCTTTATCTCTAGTATCAGTGCATATGCTACGCAAACAAATTTATTTCAGTGAGCAGGACTTAAGAATTTGCATAGAAATGATTCTACAAGAGAATTTCAGGATGGCTGTCTAGTAACCTATCAGAAACAGAATCCTAGTATATTTGGAGTGACCCTGCTCAGTGTAGAACACGAGAAGGCAGCTTTTTTTTTTTTAAATGTATAATAATGTTCTTACATTTCTTAACTAGTCTTCCAAGTGATATTCACCCTGTTGATCCAGAGCTGAATTATCAATCACTGTAAATCCTCCCCCCCCCCCACACACACACAAAATTCAGGGTTTTGTTAGGAATAATTCCCATCCCAAGAAGAATTAAGATATTGTTTAAGATGAATTCTGGAACAATAAGATGCATTAATGCTTGTTTGATGCTTGATCAAGCCATGTTTTGGCCTTCCTTTACTTAATAATTTTCTGAGATTAGACTGAGCAGAGAAGGTGGGACTGAATGGCAGAGTCTGTATATGGAATCTTGTGGCAAATATTGAATTATAGCGTGTATGAGATGAAATGCAGTGCAGGGTTTTCCTTCTGTGCCAAAACATCAAGCAGAAACTTTTAGATCCCAGTAAAGATACTGAGATTTAGAGTTCCTTGTCATACCACAGGAACACATCCTAAAATGGGCTTCCACATTCAGCTGTTACTTTCTAAAATGCCTTTGTTGTTGGCAGTGATTAACTCTGCTGTAGGAAATGTGGTTTATTTATTTCCTTTGTTTTCACTGCATTCATTTGGTTGTGATGGTACTGTACAATATTTCAGTCCTGTTGAAACCCAAATCTTAATCTCTAATAGTTGGGAGAAAAGATAGTACCAGTTAGCAATTGGAAAAAAGAAAAATGAAAGAAGGAAATATAGCAACAGTAATGGTTTTAAGATAAATTAATCCTTCCTTTTTGACCTTTATTTTATATTGCTCTGATATGTGGTTTCAAATATCAAGATTTTACATTCAATTATTATTTATATGGCATTAATTGCAGAAACTGAAAATAACTTCCCAATCAACTACTGTTTTATAATATGCAAATATTTGAATGCGCCCACATGATCCATAATTACTAAAACCTTTAAAAAAAATAAAGAGTGGGAAAAGATAGCAGACAATGGTGAGGTTATGATATGAGAGATCTAGATTTTGGGGAAAGAAGTTTTTTGTTTTTTTTTACTGCAAGCTCTTTTAGTGCCAAATTGATACAGACAGTGGACAATCGTAACGGCATTTACAGTAGGCTGTATGCAAATGAAAACCAATCCTGCTTTCCAAGTAGGTTGTGTGGTGTGTGGATTTTGCAGGTCAGATTCCAGTTACAGTTTAAATATCTCTTTGAAACAACTTAGATGGGTGTGGAGGATGCCTATTACTTATGCCAAATAACTATAGAGAATAAGGAAGATGTTCTTGACAGAGATATGCAGGATCTATTGCCTGGGTAAAAGGACTTAAGCACATTTTAAGTACAGAACGTCCAGATAATGTTTGGAAGCAACTCATACAGACTCTTTGCTGATTCACTGACCTATTATGAAGCCGGAGAGATTGCAGCACAATCAGGCCTATAAGATTCTGTAATTAGAGTCAATCTAAATAAAATTAGTTTTAGCCTTTCTTGGAGCTGAATTTTTGATCTGGTTCTCCTACTGGAGCTGACAATGACTGATTAAAAGAACCAAACTTAGCTGAGTTCTCTAAATTAAATTAGAGAAAATTAAAATACACACCCGACATAATTATCTAAATTATTAGGCTTCTGAATTCAATAGTACTTACTCCCTCTAAAACTTGTAAATAATTTTTCCTTCTCTTCCTTGTTATTTCAATGCATCTCAACAATCCAGAATACAGCTCTGGCCACAAGGCACCTTTGCAAGCAGAACTAATCTCTGCAAACAGAAGCCTTCCCTCTGAGATAGCTTTGGGTTACAGATGTGCAAAGCTATTTTTCAACTGAAAAATAATTGACACTTAAAGATTCACATTATTTCAGCCAATTAGAGTCCAAAATTGGGTATAGTTATCCTTGGTTATATAGATGAGGCGATAGCAAGTCCTTTTCAAAGCAAATTGAAGTGCACTGACAAATAGTGTTTGTAGATTAACCAGCAAGTATCTGGAGTTTTCATTCTGCATAGATCTGCAAAATTGCTCAAGTAGTGGTTATCAGCATTCCTTGCCATGGGTAATTAGGTAACAATGGTTTTTGCTCTGCTAAAGAATGGGGTGTCAATTGTTGTTAGCATACAATGTTTACATTTTAATGGTTCAATTTTAAAAAGGGAAATTAGAGAGGAACAGAGTAGTCCCTTAAGAATTTGGAAGTCCTATAAAGTGCACAGTGGAGGATCTCATTTGAGGTTGCCACTCTTCTTCCTCCATTATAAGGAGGCATCCTGCATAGTTTATCTCTATACTATTCTTTTAACAGCCCAGCCTATAGCATGTATGAGAGAGAGACTCTGTGTGTGTGTGTGTGTGTGTGTGTGTGTGTGTGTGTGAGAGAGAGAGAGAGAGAGAGAGAGAGAGAGAGAGAGAGAGAGAGAGAGAGAGAGAGAGAGAGAGAGACGAAAGATGGCAGTGGGCTTTAGGTCAATGGAATGAGAAGGAGATGGAGTTGGAACTGGGTAGTGCTGGAAAATCAGGTAGTCATGATAGCCTTTGAACAAATTCCTTACGTCGGTCCAAATCTCTTTATTGTGGCTAGGTCATATTCACACTAAAGAAAAAGTGTGTGCATATGTGGGGAATCTGGTCTGTTTCCCCTTCTGGTGTTTTGATGCATGTGTTTGATACTAGTGAATATATAATCCTATATTACTGGCTAGCAATAAATAATAAATCTCATCAATAAATAAGCAAGCCTGATCATATATGATTATATGGAGTCTTTGGTGCTCTCTGAATGTGGTTGTTTGCTTGCAGACATGTCATTACCCAGTTAAGTAACATTATCAATCCTAGCACTGATAGGCGCTAGCAGTGGCTAGCACTAATAATGTTACCTAGATAGATAATGAAATGTCTGCAAGCAAACAACCAAGCTTAGAGGGCGCCAAGGATTCCCCAATACAACCCTGACTTACATATATTCTCTTCTATTGGATATATTTGGTTAGTATTTGGATAGGAAACTATGAGGAAATGCCAGGCTGCCTACTCCTGGGAGTTGTAAAAACAACCCAGAAAAACCAGCTGCATATACAATATGTTCGCCAAGGCATATAGACTTTATTCGATCTGTCCGCATAAATCTCAAAGACTCAAGCTTAACTGAAGGGATGCTTTTTTTTTTTTTAGTCACACAAAACTAAGACTCACAAAATAGCCAAGCACATATTTTTCTACTGTAATGTTTAGATCCAACTTGGGTAGTTAATTTATGGTTCAGTGTTTGATGCAAAGCTACCGAGTTGAATTAATTTAATAAACAATGGTTATCTTAATCATCCATGAGCAATGATTGTCCAACCTTTTCTTAAAATCTTACAGAGATGAAAGACCCATTAACCACTATAAGCAGTCTGGTCCATTGTTTTATAGCTCTTTGCATCAGGAAGTTTTTCCTTATATTTAAATGAGACATATTAGTAAATATGTGTTGCATTAACAAGAGGTTGCTACTAGAATACAATCCAAATATACTCTTCACCCTTAACTTACTGAATAGCCTGAGCCCTAATGATCTTCTGCAGCAACTCTGTAGGAAATACAATATGTGACCAGTACAAGATATGCGTTGTGCTTAGCTAGAACCTCCCCTCCATCTTCCTTTCTCCTACTAGCTTTCATTTTGATATTTGGGGAATATTTGTTAAAACATTAAGTGATTTAATCCCATCTTCCTATCCTAACACACAAGGGGAGAGAGAGAGAGAGAGAGAGAGAGAGATGTGTGCTATCCAGAAAACACCATGTTGGTTAACATTTCTGATTAAGCAGTAAGTAAAATAATAGGTAATCAACAGAAATTATGTGACTGAATCCATCTTTGCTATATTGTCCATCCCATTTCCTTTCGCTGTTTTAAGAGCTTTTCTCTCTTTGATCTTAATAATAATAATAATAATAATAATAAAGTTGGCAGGGACCTTGGAGGTCATCTAGTCCAACCCTCTGCTCAGCCAGGAAACCCTACACCACTTCAGACAAATGGCTGACCAGTCTCTTCTTAAAAAGTTCCAGGGTTGGAGCATTCACTGCTTCTGGAGGCAGGTTGTTCCACTGGTTAATTGTTCTAATTGTCAGGAAGTTTCTCCTTAGTTCTAGGTTGCTTCTCTCCTTGATTAGTTTCCACCCATTGCTTCTTGTCCTGCCTTCCAGTGCTTTGGAGAATAGCTTGACTCCCTCTTCTTGTAAATATGGAGTTAAATAATCCCTCTCTCTGGGCAGAAATCTGAATTAAGGCACCTCAACAGGCAGCTAACATCTCTTTGAGCATATCCAGTGAAGGGGAAACTGCCATTTCTCTGGCTAATTGGTTCCATTCTTAAACTGTTCTTAATGTTAGAAAGCTTTTGTCAAACATTCAGTTGGAATTGAAACTCCAACCCATCATGTAACTTCCTGTAATCTAGAATGAAAAAGAACCTTCAGTGCGAAGAAGATCATTTTCCTACCTATAGAAATCTTGAAAAGAAGATACTGAAAGTTTCTCCTCATTATCAGTCAGATGAATAGTACACTTTCATTCATGGAAAATTTTTAAAATTATTTTGGATTTCAATCCA